TTAAGTTTTAATATATTTACAGTAGGAAATGTACAAAATATTTTAATGGAACATGATCTTTACATCCTAATGATTTTTGGCATAAAAGAAAAATCGATCATTTTGACCCATACAATGTATTTTTGGCTATTGCTACAAATATACCCGTGCGACTTAAGACTGGTTTTGTGCTCCAGGGTCACAAATAGAGTATGTGCTTTACATAATAAAACAGAATTTTGTGGCAAAAAGATGGAAATAATCTGTTGTCCCATTGTTACTGTAAGGACCTTTGAAATAACTGAAATCATTTGGCAAGGTGATATGGACATGTAAAGTGGTCAAGAGTGTTTTCTTTTTTTTTTTCCAAGTCAAGCTGGTCTCACCAGTCTCCAGACAAGGTTCTTGCTTTTCAAAGTACTCAGGAGCAATGACCTTCAGCAGCGAATGGAAAAGGTTCACAAACGGCAATCTGGACACCACCACCAGAGACTAGGGATATAGAAATACTGAAATCATTTACGGCACAAAACAGTCATTATTTCCAGTATATTATTTAACAACAAGGACCTTGACTAAACACATTCAATTAAAGTGTAAAGTCTAAATAGACTGGAAAAGCTCATTGTGAAAAACCAGAACAAGCATGTGTATCTTTAATTTCAGTTACACACCTTCTGAAAGTAGCCCCTTTTGACAGACGCATCTTTCACTTGCCTGAAATACACATACCCGTGCAAATGTGCATGCTCCTTCTGAAAAAACAGTACGGTCATTTACATGCACACCTTATTTATGGAATTTATTGGTTCAAAGCACATGTCAATCAGTTGTGATGCTGGGAAAAGAGCAAGTCTATTTCTAACCTGCAGGGTCACAGGTGCATCCTTGTTGTACACATCCTCCTGTCCAAACCAAGAGCTACTGCGGCCCACCGACTGCCGCAGTCTGAAGCTGAACTGAGTGTCCCCGAGGCATCCTGGGATAGACATGCACTCATGTGATTGAGCTGTAATGCTCATGTTTCAGCTGTTTATCATAAAAGCAAGGATCAGATCAGCCTGTGCCAGCACATTACCCGAGTATGAGTCAGGAAACGATAAGTAACAGATGCTTGTTTTCTAAAAGACAGAAGGAAGCGAAGGGTTTAAGTACTTTTAGAGGCACTTTAGAAAGAAATTAATGTTTTGAAAATCGTCTTAAAAAAACATTGTGCTCTATATATTTATAATACTGCGGGAAAATAAATGAATAAATCAAATATTTAAATCAAATTCATCTTACCTCTTTCTCTGTGAGTTTGACATCATGAGGGTAAACGAGCTGATAACAACCGAAAGAATGTTAGAGATACACAGTGATGCTGCTGTTGCTGTGGTTACAGTTGGTGATATTACAATCAGAACGTTTGCACTGTCACTGCGTTTTTTCACAATCAGATTTTCCCCCGCTTGCAACAAACACTTAAACAAGCAATGTCAGATGTTGGTACGTGCACATAATTTGTGTACCTCTATGGCTTGTCCGAGCTCGAGGTCGAAGGTAACGACGCACACACACTCGAGCCAGGCAGAGAAGCGTGTCCACGGCACCGGTACCTCTGTGTTTGTCGCCGCAGCCTTCGATGGCCCTTCCAGAGCATCGGAGCTGTCAAATGGGTCCATTGTGACCTAAATATCCATTTGAGAACCGCTTGCTTTTGTGAATGGTCGCGTTCTCGGTCATCATTTAGGAACCATTGAGGCTGAACAGCGCCCTCCCGCGGGGAGGAATGACTTATTTATTTATTTTAGTCAGTTAGCAGACGCTTTTATCCAAAGCGACTTACAAATGAGGACAATAAAAGCAGTCAAAACTAACAAAAGAGCAACAATATACGTGCAAATGACAAGTCTCGGTTAGCCTAACACAGTACACGTAGCAAGGTGTATATATATATATATATATTATACACATATACACACACACACAAAGAAAAACAAGTAGATAGAATAGAAAAAATAGAAAGCTAGTGTTTGTTTGTTTTCATTGATGTATGGTTTGTTAGGCTGAGATACAACTATTTGAAAATCTGGAATCTGAGGGTGCAAAAAAAAAAAAAAAAATATTGAGAAAATCGCTTTTAAGGTTATTGAAATAGACTGTGCCTGGAAAAAAATTCCCGAAAAAAATCTTGACATTAATTATAATAAATTGTTTAACGCATTTGGCCTAGTTTATTTTAATAATATAATATGACAACAAACTCCAGTTGTTGTTGTTGTTATCATCATCATCATTGTTATTATTAGTAGTATTATTATTTTAATCTACGTTCATCTTATCAAGGCTAGTGGAAATAAACGCGGGGAAGCGCGCGCTCGATTCGCAGGCACAGTGATCTGACAGCACGCGCGCGTCTATGACAGAGTTTCGCCATTTTGAACACAAACATATGAACGATTTTTATTTTCCGACCCTCCTTTCCCTCGCCTTGCGCGTGAGCAGCCGAGATAACTCTGCGTAGTGGCGAAGAGCAGAATAATTTCCCAAAAAACTCCTTTATCGATAAGAGGGAGCAGAAAAGCAACTTTAGTGAGGACGATGGCTCGCGCTCTGGGCAGATAGTTGAGAGGAAAACGGTCTCGTGGCAGCTGCGGGGTTTCACAGAGCGCGCGCGGGGCAGCAGCAGGAGCCCGTCTGAAGACACTCACAGCGGGGTAAGCGTACATGCATAGCCTGTTTACATGCGCAGATAGCACTGCTGGGGCCGACCCTCTCTGCCCTACGCCAAACCATGCTTGTTTCGAAATGTTTCGCTTAGAAATTGTGTCGTTTTTATTCTCTTCAGATCGGAAGAAACTTCTGTAAGAGAGAGGTTCAGCTGAAGTTAGCCAGACGAGCTAGCAAACAAACCGAAAACATCCCATTCTTTAGCGTTAAATAACACTTAACATCTCTAGCAACCCATTTTGAGCTATAAGTGAGTGTTTGTTTGAGTTGTTTCGGTCGAGTTTGGGGTTGTTTTGAAAATACGGAAACCAGGTTTGTCGCTAATGTTAGCCGCTTATGCTAACGGTTGCTAGCAGGGCCCAGTTGTAAATATGCAACCGCCGAGATTTTCCGCTGAAACTGTTATTCTGCATTTAAAATCGTCGTCCTATGTGTGAAATGAATAGTAATACGTCTTCTTTTCCCGTCCTGGCTTTAAAAGGTGTGAAAACTGCTCTGGTGGTATGTTATTGACGTCTGTTGTAAACATTTGATTCAAATCATGTTGTCCTTAGCAGCAATGAGTAATTCATAAGTTCATCCTCTTCAGCTATTTAACTATTGAGTTGTAAAACACGATCGTTCAGTATGACGAATGCAATCTCATTTGTAGTTTTGTAATGCAGGAACACCCCCTCTGGGGGTCCAGGGGTCAGGACAAGTTGCTGGATCAACTTCCTAAGTAGGCAGCTTCTGGACAGTTGTGAAATCAATGCCAGCTTATTTGATCTCAGCTGCTGTCAGAGATCTCATGCAACATCCCCGCTCGTGTCTGCTGTGTGCGGCAGCTTATATTGTGTGCAAATGCTGCTGTCTGTTACTATTTTTGATGAATCATAGAGCAGAGACATTTGCTTTCCTGTGTAGAGTTCACTGGGGAGTTCTCTGCTTGTTATTGTCGCAGTAAGCTCTGCACGTGCACACAGCCATGTCCACAGAAAAGAAGGAAACAAGTCCCCTTGTCTATTTTTTTGGCCACTTTTTTCAAAAATGAAAGAAGCGCTTCAGGTTGCACAGCTGCAGATCAATGATAGATATTCTTTCCGGTATGTGTTCTCTGTGTCGTTTGTCATCAGATGAGTCTGTAGTGCTCAAGGAAGCTGTTACCAGCTGCTGTTTTGAGTGTGCCATATGCGCACAAGATGTGGAGTAGGTGTGCATTTCATTTAGGAAGAAAGTGCGTCTAGTAGCACCTTTTGTTTTAACTTCCTAGAATTTGGTCTAAACGTCAAAATCTGAGTGAAATTTTGCAGGCACAAAAAGGTCCATTTTCTTTAGTTAATAATGTAGTGATGAAGTAGAATGAAGCTTTTTTTCAAATCACAATGTGTTGGTCAATGCGGTAAATGTTCAACTTGAACCTCTTGCGAAATCCGCATGGGGGAATTGTTCGTCCTTATGGAATTATTACTGTATTTCGCCTGCAAAAAAATTCACCGAACAATAGTAAACATGACTGCACTTAAAGGAAAAGTTCACCCCAAAAAATGAACATTTGCTGAAAATGTATCACCCTCAGCCTCAGGCCATCCAAGATGTAAAAGAGTTTCTTCGTTGGAACAGATTTTGAGAAATTTATTACATCAATTGTTCACCAATGCATCCTTTGTAGTGGATGGGTGCCGTCAGAATACGAGTCCAAACAGCTGATAAAAACTACACACTAATCCACGCAAGTCCAGTCGATTAATTAATGTCTGGTGAAGTGAAAAGCTGCGTGTTTGTAAGAAACAAATTCATCATTAAGGTGACTCGCTCTTCATGTTCCAGTTGCCTCATGTTTTGTTTTGAGTGGGATGTGTTAGTTGGATGCTTTAAAGGTCCATCAATTATTTCTGTCCCCTTCCTTGTTCGTCTGTTCTCCAGGCGTTTTAACTTTAAACTGTCACTTCTGGCCAAAGTATGAGTCCATAATCCATAATAACACTTCTTCCACTGAAAAACTCCATCCCCTCTTGTCCTCTCACATCAAAATCCACCATATATTCGTTTAGGACTGTTTTCGATTGTAAACAGTGCTTATCTGTGCATATATCTCTCTTGATTCAGACAAGATCACTTTTTGACTGGAGAAAGCAAAATTATGTATAGTGGAAGAAATGGTTGGAACTTAAAAATTCTTAAAGATAGATTTGTTTATTACAAACATGCAGCCTTTGGCTTTACAAGACGTTAATTGATGGACTGGAGTGGTGTGGATTATTGTGATTATTTATCAGCTGTTTGGACTCTCATTCTGACGGCACCCATTCACTGCAGAGGATGCACTAGTGAGCAAGTAATGTAATGCTAAATTTCTACAAATCTGTTCTGATGAAGAAACAAACTCATCTACATCTTGGATGGTCTGAAGGTGAGTACATTTTCTGCATATTTTCATTTTTTGGTGAACTGTTCCTTTAATGCTTGAAGTCTGATCTCAAGACTCATATTTATTTGTTGTACAAACCACTGTAGTGCCATTTAAGCAATCTCTTAAAATAACTGTTTGCATGTCTGCTAGAGAGTCAGTATCGGGGTGAATTTGAGGAAGAGAGTGTTTATGTGTATTTGTTCACTGTTGATAAGGAAATGACGTTTGTACACTGCATTTTCAGTTCACGAGACCTTCCATAGTTCTGATTTTAGTCTTGCACAGTCTGTTGTGTGTTTTCTAGCTCCAAGGTTCCTAGACTATATGATGTAATGTGTTTTTATACATTGTTGATGTATTATACCCACTTTGCATTATTTGTTACATTGGTTTAAAGTGTTTTTCACCTCTGCCTGCATTATTTTTGAAGGGTTTGCATTATCTTGTTTCTTTTCCCCAGTGTCAGACCGTCTGAGGTGTGCGTGTATTTGAGGAAGGCCTGGTGGGAAGTGGACCTCATGCAGATTAATGCTAGGTCATTCTGTGCTGTCTGCATTCTGCCACTCAAATGCCTGTCTGCCTGTGGAGGAGGTGTAACTAAGGATTCACACGTTTCATCAGCTGGTAAAAATATATTTATTTAACAAATGTTTTTTAAATCTATTAATGTTCCAGCGCTCGAATTCCTGAAGAGTCTTTTATATAGGCTCACTAACAGATCACATCTCTTTGTGCAAGCAAAGCCTATCAGGCTGTGTGAAATGTATCGCCCAGGGTGTGATGCGTGGGTATCAGTCATCTTGTGGGAAAGGTCTGCTTTGTTCATGACCAGAGTTGTTAGAAAATCTTCACAGCCCAGGTGATTTCAATCAGTACTGAAAGAAGGAAAGTTGCTCTTCATGTTCCAGTTGCCTCATGTTTTGTTTTGAGTGGGATGTGTTAGTTGGATGCTTTAAAGGTCTATCAATTATTTCTGTCCCCTTCCTTGTTCGTCTGTTCTCCAGATTCTCTTTTATCTGTTATTTCTGCTTTCCATCGCTATTCTTCCCCCCTCTCCCACTCATTCTATAGCGTTGTTCCAAAACCTATTAGGCTGCCTAGTGCCTACATAGACAGCTGCTTTTTAAGACAACTCCCTAACCATAATAGAACTTCATAAGCGACTGATTTGGAACACAGTGGTTCTCAACCAGGGGGCCGGGGCCCACTAGGGGGCTTCAGCAAACCTCCAAGATCATTAAAAAGCATTTAAATTAATAAATTATTGCTAATATTTTAAAATAATCTAACTCTGAATAAAAATGTAACAATAACTGTTGTTTCATTAACAGCATTCTTAAAAATGTCTGAAAACACAACATTGTGTATACTCCTAGTTTCTGTTAATAAAAAAAGTTTAAACCCAGGCAGCTTTGTCATAATTATGCAGAAAAACGTAATATTACATGTTTATGTAGATATAACGGGACATTTGACTCAAAAAGTTTAGGCAGTTCTGCATGTCTACTTTGGATTTTTTCATTGTGTTTATCGCAGTCTCAGTCTAGGATCACCTTCTCTGCAATAGATATTTCTCCTCACTTTCAAGTCTTCTCTTCAGGCCTGGGCTTCCTGCTGCAGCAGCCACCGC